TACTGATTTTTCAGTTTTCCTCTACCCACCATCTCATGCACTTTTCCCCAGATGGCCTGGCAGCTTTTCGGACATTTCTGAAGTCAGAGTTCAGCGAGGAGAATGTGGAGTTCTGGTTGGCCTGTGAGGACTTCAAAAAAACCAAATCCTCCACCAAGATTGCCTCGAAAGCCCAGAAGATTTATTCTGACTTTATACAAGCTGATGCTCCAAAGGAGGTAAATAGGAATTTTTCTGCTTACTTTGGGTACTGAGGATGGGAATCTAGTAGTAAGTTTGGATTCAAACTTCAAGGAATGGCAGAAAACACAATTCAACTTGGGTGTAACTTCCATTTTCATATCAATTATTTACCAGGTGAAAAATACACTGTGAAGACAAGACAGTCCTTCTGTAGTTTATCCTTTACATTCTTTACACAGGGCACAGGCTTATCTCTCACCTTCTGAAATTTTTGCCTTAAGATTTTAGTAAATTTGTGTCCAATAGTTTTCTGTAATCATGTTTCCTAATGCAATAAGCACCATTTAGTCCATATTTTAGGTACCAGCATATTGGAATGATAATGATTGTATCTATTCTTTTGTATAGGAACTTTTGACATGGTGAGACTGTAAACTTGCAAGAATTTCCATCACAGCATTCAATTTTCCCATTATTTCAAAAGTGCTTACTGTGAAGGAACAAATTGCTTATTAATTATTGTTCACATTCTGCACCTTAACCAGCTTTTATGCTGATGTTGCCTTGGCTATTGAGCATGTTTTGAATGTCCCTATGTCTCACATGTTTTATGGATTAAAATCAAAAAATCCTTTCAAAATACATATGGCTAAAGAATAAATAATGCTGAGTAACTTTTTCTCTCAAAAAATCCTTTCAAAATACATATGGCCAATGAATAAATGATGCTGAGTAACTTTTTCTCAATTTACTTTTTGGAAATCAATACTTCATAGGATTTGGTTTGGCAAAAAGATGAGACAATCAGAACCAAGTTTCTCCCCTTCTTTTTTTCAGTGGTGCCATCTTTTAAGAGCCAAATAAAATGAACATGCTAGAAAATGAAGGGATAAGCTTCCTGTTTATTTGCATCAGTCAGGTGATTTGGAAATTCAAATGCTGACTGTGTCCTGTACACAAACAGACCTCAGCTTTCCAATCAAACTCACACTGGTTTTATGCCTCCTTTCTTCCTACAGATTAACATTGACTTCCATACCAAAAATGACATCTCTCAGAATATCTCTGAGCCCACCCTCAGCTGCTTTGATGATGCTCAGAGGTCAATCTACTGTCTCATGGCAAAGGACTCTTTTCCCAGGTTTCTAAGGTCAGAAGTGTACAAGGAACTAGTAAAGAAGCATCAGGATGGAAATCATAAGAGATGGCTCCCATTTCTGTGAGGAAATACCTGAAGGATTATGAATTTATAAGTGCCTCCCATTGCAGTTTAGTACAGATAATGATCAGTTATTAAAGTGATTGCACAAACCACATCCAAGCTTTTGCCAGATTGTTTTTAAGTACAAAATGCACATGATACTTTCTAATAAAGGTAGAGAAATGTTCAAGAAACAAGATGGAACATGCTAGACATTTGAGCCACCTTTTTAATAAAGAAGTTTGGCATTGTTATTTTTTTCCAGTGTTTAGTTTATTTGTCAAAGAGTTTTGACATTTTAAAGCAGAATGTTTTGGTTTTCTGGTTTGCTGTTGATTTATCTTTAGAAGTATGGCCTCAAAAATAGATTCCTTTCAAGGGACTTGAATACATTACTCATTCGTCATTTTATTTGTAGCTTGTAAAAAAATTAATTTAAATCCTCTTTTGAATGTTTTATACCAATTCAAAACAGGAGAAGTAGAAATATGGTAGATAACTCACTATGATAATATTTAATAAATAGGCAGCTGCTTTATCACAAATGTTCCTGGCACTCAGAGCAAATTAATGTTTCATAATACAGCTGTCTTCAGTATGAATGCCTTCAATTTTCTTTGTGTTTATTTAATTAATTTTTTATTGAAAACTCTCATTTATTAATTGTGTAGGCATTTTGGAAAAAAAAATCTCCTGAGGAAATCTTCCTTTGTACATTTTGAGAAGCTCACCATGAGCTGCAGTGTGTGCTAGCAGCCCAGAAAGCCAATCCAATCCTGGGCTGTATCAAAAAAAAGTGTGAGCAGCAAGTCAAAAGAGGTGATTCTTCCCATCTAATCTGCTCTCGTGAGACCCCACCTGGAATATAGCACATAGTTCTGGTGTCCTCAGCATAAGGAGGACATGGAACTGTTGGAGCAAGTCCAGAGGAGGCCATGGAGCTGCTAAGAGGACTGGAGCATCTCTCCTCTGAGGAATTTGGGACTGTGGAGCCTGGAGAAGAGAAGACTATGTGGAGACCTCAGAGGAACTTTTCAATAACTGAAGGGCCTACAAGGAGCCGGAGAGGGACTCTGTGTTAGGAACTGCAGTGATAGGACACGGGGGAAAGGGTTCAAACTGAAGGAGGGAAAGTCTAGGTTGGATGTGAGAAAAAAGTTTTTTACTCTAAGGGTGGTGAGACACTGGCACAGGTTGTTCAGGAACTTGGTGGCTGCCCTGACCCTGGTGGTGTTCAAGGCCAGGCTGGATGAGCCTTGAGCAACCTGATCTAGTGAGGAGGTGTCCCTGCCCATGGTAGGGTTGGGACTAGATGATCTCCAAGGTCCATTCCAACCCCTAAATTCTATGATTTTATGATTTTTAGTTCATTAATTTTCTTTATTTTTCCAAATATGTTAGTGGTACCATCACCGTGCACTGATGAAGAAGTTATTTCATTAATAATTGCCATTTTTCAATGGAACACAGATGAGGAGAAAAGTAAGCATAAGAAGCAGATTTAGGCAAGTAAGTGTGTAAATCAGGATTTAGTCATGGCATTATCTTTCAAACCAACAAGATACAATCAGATTCTAATGCAAACTTCAGGTGTTGCCACATGCTCACACTGACCTCATTCACTGGTAGGAAAAGATTATTGCAGATATTTAGGTGAAGGAAGTGACTATGTTATGATATTGGAGAAAAAAAATATTTTAAACTACATGGGGCAGAAATGATCTTCACTGAGGAAAATATTTCTAAGTACAAGGGACAGTAGTAAGATTTTTCTAAAAAATCTATCTTTCATTTGATATGAATTTGATCCTTTTGCTTTTGAGCTGCTCTAAATCTTCAGGTCTCTCCCCCTGTTTGGAACTCTGTTCATGCCTTCTCTACACCATGAAAAGAGGATCTATGCAAAAGATCCTTTCTATTTCCTCAAACCACTTTGAGGAACCACTTCATGAAGTGTGTTAGGCAGCCTGAAAGCCCTAACACTCTGCTTTAGGTGATGCACTGAGGCTCAAGTCCTGCCACAGATTCTGTGGCTAGGGTGAAGAATTTCAATTCTTTGATACCCAACTTCTCTTCTATCCCCTGCTTTTTCTTCTCACTGTCTGCATTTCTTTTTCTTTTCTTTCTTCTCCAGTGCTGGTGGTTTCAGAGAAATGAACATGATGGCTGAGGTTAAGCTACAAGGAGGATGTGGGTTTCTTTTGCAGTCCTGCAGTTCCCATTCATCTAGCAATGACATTTCAGTGGAAAAATGGCAACTTCTGCCTGCAGCATGGCCCTGGTGCCTTTCTGCACCTGGGGATTTCTGCTGGCTGAAGGCACAGTAAAAGCAGCAATCAGGATTGCTGACCTTATATCATTTACTCAAAAATGTAGTAAGTCATTTTCCTTTCTTACAAACCTAATTCTCATTTTCAGAATAGAAAATTCCCACATGAAAGAAACAAATGGGATCACATCACCTTTCGTAGCAAGGCAAGTAGAAAACCAAAATTTCTGTGCTACCAGTCACATTTAGGACCTAAGGATAAAAAGGTGCCTTGAAAACTGATGCATGGTCATAAAATCTCACAACTCTCTCTGTACTCTAAAACAGGTTTTACCCCATCACAGGGATGGGAAGGGGCAGAATGACAACTGCCAGGGAGCTCCAGTTCCTGGCTGGTTGAAAACACAGCTTAAGGAGAAGTTAAAAGCATATATGAAATAGTCAGACATGATCAACCTAATGTATGCTATTCTTCTAGTAACTAAATAAGACACAGTAGAAGGAAACATTATATCCATGTCTGGCTGATTCTCTATGATCAACAGCACAATTATTGTCAAAAGAGAAGATAATTCTTAGCATTTTAGCAGTTGAGATTTGTTTTAATAATAGCATAATAAAGTACCATAGATGGTTTTCACACATTTTCAATTAATTTAGACTGTTTTAAGAGAAATGTACAGTAATGGCACCTTTAGGAGCTGTAACAGACTCAAGGGTAAAGGAACAGTACTAATCTTTTCATAAGCCCTTAATTAAATTTTGTTACTTTTAATTGACAAAGTTAATTACACTTTTGCTGCTGATCAAGCCTTTCAACATTTTTCTTCATTAATCTGTTCCAGGTGCTTAAACATGAGATGAAACTTTGCCAAGTTTAAATAAATGATAACTCTAAATTGATTCCAAATTCTAAGCAGCCAGGTATATTTCCAGTTGCAGACAGGATTTGTGAGAGTCCTATGTCTTGTCACAGGTTTGTTAAGCTCAGAACACTTTTGTAAATGCTGGAGGGGAAGACTTGGCATTTTCTTCTTTGCCAGAAAATTCTTTGCTAACACTATAATGCAAAAATACACTCGAACAGAAAATTCACATAATTACAGGCTTTGCACAAGAACCTTCTAGACTTTTGGTGTTCATCTTGATCCAAACAAAAAAAAAGCTCAAAGTACAGAATCCCTCAAGCAGTGTCTGCTGCTAAGACAAGAATCTACATAATCTGTCAAGGGCCAAAGAGGATTTTCAATGAGCAATTTTTGGCATTTTGACTGATGTCAGACCCCAAAGACCTGTCCCCTTGGCACACCAACACCCTGATCCTCCTCTCCCTCTCTGAGCTCTCACCAGCTGCCAGGGCTCTTCCTAACTAGCCTTATTTTCTATATATAAAGATCTCTCTCTTGTTAAGATGTTTATGGGAGATTCCTGACCCAGGTTCAAGTCTTTGAGAGGATACAGGTTTTGAAATGAAATTCAGTCATGGAAAGAGGCAGTAACAGCTTCAACTACTGCTTCAATTTATCCAAAAATGAATGACACCAGTGTGGTCAAAATATTCCAGCAAGCAACACCTAGAAAACGTTCAGTCTGACACCTTCCCCATAGATATACGTCAAAGCTGACTCATGCTGTTTTTGATTTTTATCTTCCCCCTATACCACACACCTTTAGGAATGCTCCAGCTTGTGTGAAATCATGTGAATGAAGGTATGTAAGCCAGGGCCCCTTCTCACCTATGTGGGTGTTTGATCACATGCAAGATAATACAATCCACTCTGAACTAGACATATAAAATATCCAGAAATTCTGAAGACCAAAATTAGCCATTTTAAACCAAAAAAACTCTCTGAATTTTGGGGAAGACTGCCTGCTACATCTGGACTTCACTGCTATGTCTAAGAAATGGAAACCTACCACATATAATTTGACTCTTGCAAAGAGGCAGGGAGATTAAACTAATAAAATCAGTATAACATCTTTATTTCTGGATGATAATTATACTGTAGTGCTGGTGGAACTTCAAAGCACATTATGGATCTGAAAATGAATCATACTTTCTTCCTTTCAGTATACTGAAAAACAAGGGGTGGGGGAAACATGAAAAGAGGTGTCACTTTTGTTGGGGTTGGTTAAAGCTCTCGTAGCTCAAGAAGCAGCACATGTTTGTAAGGAGAAAGGAAATCAAGCAATGTAAACAAGATCCTTGTGCATATTCACCTTCATTCAGCAAATACAGCAGATAATCTGTCCCTGTGCTGCCTAGGAACTGGAATTAATATGATAATTTTGATATAATTTGAAATACTTATTTAGTAACAGAAAGCATTTTACTGAACTAAGAAGTGGCACTAAAATAATCACTAAAAGCTCTAGTTGAAAGCTTGTGAAGCTGTTCATTTTGAGGAAAAAAATACCTCCCAGAAATGTTTCTTTTCTATTTTTTTCCTAACTTTTCAACTTCTATAATATTAGGCCCTGGAAATTCGACTCAGTGTATTCTTACACATTTCAGAGGAGGCCTTGGATGCTTTGATCTTTAATGAGAAAAAATGAGACAATAGTAGATCAAATGCTTCCTTACCTTATTTTTTATGCTGTTGCCATGGTTTCTAGCTGTGATGTCATTGTTTTTCTGTACTGAGACATTACTTTGTAAGTATTTTTTCCTACATTGCATGAGTTTAGTTATTTGCATACAAAATGAGTAGAGCTGGATTTGTCTCTCAATCCATATCTGTTTCCATTTAGGTTTGCATGGAGGTTATTTTTAGTTCTATGAATAGTTTCCCTACTATGCATAACAGTCCTGGAAAGACA